AATAAATAACCGGCATCTATTTTTGGGTTAGATATTACACATAACGAAATAATTAAAGATACACGTGGCAGATGAGAAGTTTATTATAAATATTATTACATTAAAATGACAACAAATATTAGACATTTATTCAAATTAATATAAATAAACGAAGATATAGCATATAAAAGCAGGACCAAAAAAAAAATAATATGAGTAAAAATTATGAAAAAGATTTTTTTTCCTCACTAATATAATAATCGAGTAGCAAATAAAAAAAAGATAAAAAAAAAAAACCGAACATAGATCTAAAATAAACAACCCAATATTCAAAAAGGAAAAAAAAATAAAAACATAGATCTGAAAAATATGAACAAACCCATGGAATCAAAACCAAAATATTCAAGAAAATAAAGTACGAAGATAACAAATAACATAATCGAACCAAAAAATACCATGCTTGTACAACCGATGGGAAAAAATGTAATATAAAACATCGACAAATATAGATATACAAAAAAAAAAGGAGATGCAGCCCAAATAAATCTAGCGAGGGGAAAATTAAAGTCTAGAGGGTTGCAGGAAGAAGATATTTAGGAAACGAAGAAATCTGACAAAAAACCTAGAAAAATAGACTAATCTAAAAGGTTGCAGAGGGGGGAAAAATAAATAGAAAAATATAGATCCAGAAACAAAAAAGATAAACATAGATCTAGAAGATCATAGAAACGAATGAACCCAAAGAAAAATATAAGCATGTTCAATGTAGGTATGCAAGAATATAAGCAGATCTAGATCTGGCGAGGAGGAAAAAATCTAAGAATTTACAAAAAGAACAAATATGACAAACGAAGAAATTTGGCCAAATTTTTAGAAAAATAGACAAATCTAAAAGGTTTCAGAAGAAAAAAACCGAAAGGGGAAAAAGTAGATCCAGAAACAAAGAACGATAAACATAGATCTAGAAAATCATAGGAACAAATGAACCAAAAGAAAAAGATAACCCTAATCACTCTAAATATGCAAAAATAAAAACGGATCTAAAAGGTTGCAGAAGAAAACAAAGGGAGAAAAGAGGGAAAAGAAAAAAATCCCCAATCTCAGTTAAAAAAAAAAACGTTGAAGATTGCAAGAGCAAAGCAACGAAAAGCATAAATGACAACAGAAAGAAATAATGAAAAAAAATGGCTGAAATCAACAAACGAAAAATAGGAAAAATAACTCAGGCTTAGTGTCGACGAAGGAAAAATCTAGAACATTACGGAAGGAAAGAAATGAAGGGGGGAGAGAGAGAAAGGGCTACAGATAAAAGTGAAAGAGAGCAAATGAAAGAAGGGCAAACGAAATAAGCAAAAGCAACAGTAAATGACCAAAATGGTCACGGCAAATATGCACACAAAAATCTAGAATGAAGGGTAATATCGTAATTTCACTATTAGGACATAACAGTAATTAAAATTTCATCAGAAGGAAAAAGCAGGGCTAAAACGGGAAAGACACTGTTCATAGCACTGTAGCATGAACAGTGAATCCCGTCCTTTCTTTTAGTATATGTATTAGAGGTGTCAATTGGGCCGGGCCGTCCATGGACGGCCCGGCCCAGCCCGCTACAGTAATAAATTCGGCACGGCCCCGCCCCGCATTTAGGGCCAATTGGCCGACCTATGCCGTCTGGTCAACCAATCATTTTCTTATAATTATTCATATTAATTCAATAAAATCACATATTTTTGGGGCATATGATATATTACTTTTTTTTGTCATCAAATTTGAAATTAAAAAAAAATCCTAAAAAAAATTGTTAATCATAAGTGAAACTCAAGTGTATTAAGAAAATTAAGTTAAGATTGAGTTTAGACATAACAAAATCTTTTAGAAACACTTAAGTTTTGTAATTTACTTATCCTAGAATACTGCACTCTTTTTTCCTTCGCTAAGGTTTTGTCCCGATCTCCCCACGAGGTTTACTTGACAAGGTTTTTAACGAGTTGATCATTTATGTATACTTATTTGTATTATCTCAATTTAATAAAATCACATCTTTTGGGAACATATGATATATTTTCTTTTTTTAAATTAAATATTAAAAAAAAAATTAAAAGGGCCAGGGCCGGCCCGTAAAGGGCCTGGGCCTAGACCCGACCCTGACCCTTATGGACTAGGGCCAAGAGCCAGTGCTGGGCCTGAGGGTTTCTCCTGCACTGTGCAGGGCTTCGGGTTAGAAGGGCCGTGCTGGGCAGCACGGCCCTTTTGACATCTCTAATATGTATAATGTACGGAAAATAAAAAAAGTTATATATTTGCCAAATTAGTACGGTGTCCTCAGATTTAAGACATTTAATTATAAAAAATAAAATAAAAAATAAAAAACCCTTAAACCCTGGGCTTGGCAGGGCTGGGGGTTGGATATTGGTGTTGGTGGTCTAATTAGTGAAGTCGAAACTGGAAAAGTGAAATTTTCAATCAATGAGAGAAAGAATGAAGCAGCGCAGGTACGCAATGGTGTGCTCGTCAAACCAGAATCGGAGTATGGAGGCTCACTCGCTACTGAAGCGGCAGGGCTTCGACGTCTCCTCGTACGGCACCGGCGCTCACGTCAAGCTCCCAGGCCCTTCTCTCCGCGAGCCCAACGTCTACGACTTCGGCACTCCCTACAAGCACATGCTCGACGATCTCCGCCGCAAAGACCTCGAATTGTCTGTAACTAAAATTCTTTTTCCTTCTTCCATTCCGATTTTGATTTGCAAAAATTGGAGGCTTTTGGCGGCTAAATTGAATCATTAGAAGTGCAATTGATCTCCGAATTGGGTACAGGTACAAGAGAAATGGGATTCTGCCAATGCTTAAGAGGAATTCGTCGGTTAAAACGGCACCGCAGCGGTGGCAGGACAATGCCGCCGATGGTTCCTTTGATGTGGTGTTCACGTTTGAGGAAAAGGTTTTTGATATGGTCATTGAAGGTTTGCAATTAATTATCTTTTTCTCTTCTAATGTCTATTACCATACTTCATACTTGTTTGTTGCTTGATTCTGGAGGTGTTAGCTTAGCACTTTCTTGAGATTTTCTGTATTTGGGTATTGTCGTTTTTATGCAGCCACGTGATTGTTGAGCAATTTGAAGGATATAGTCATTGGATAATGTAATGAACCGAATTGTGAGGCAATCCATAGCTTTGGCTTTAGATGATTAGCTCTATTGAGTTTTAGATTATCCGACTGGATTGTTAACTTTGATTCATTTCCCCGTGGCGAATGGTTATTAGTTGTGGCGAATGGTTATTAGTTAAGGCTAGGACTGCGGTACGGCCAGAATCTTTTTCTGGTTGTATTGTGCGAGGCTGCGAGCAAGAAATGAATTTGAGTTACTTTAATCAACAACTAAGAATGTCGACAATCTAGATCCCTATAGACATCATCCAATCCAAAAAGGCGTTGCACAATACGACCAAATTAGGGGACTCTTAGTTTAACTACGAGGGATAAGCAGTTGATATTTCTGTTAGGTATGGATTATAATCTGTAGAAAAATTACCCGGTTAGTTAGGATAATATGTAACCTAGATCTATAGTTAACGTATTCCCTGATTTTGTGGATAGTTAGTTTCTGTTCCTAAGTTAGTGGTAAGCCAGGCTATAAATATATTGTAACCTATGTATGTTTTCTACGTTGTTTTAATGAGAAGGAATTAATTCAGCCCAGCAGTGTTTATCTGTTTCTTTCCTCTTATTTACTTTTATGATATCAGAGTACGTTAAAGGTAATATTGAGTAGAGAGAAACGATGTCGGATGCAAGCAAGATTGATGGCTCTGAGATAACCCCTGTTACCAATCAGCCAACGCCTAAAATTGCTCCCACTGCGGTTTCTGAAAGCACTTCCTTACATATTACCACGCATAGACTAAATGGAAAAAATTTTCTCCAATGGTCTTGATCCATTCAAATGGTTATTAGAGGCAGAGGAAAACTTGGGTATCTGGATGGCACCATTGCCATGCCTAGTACTGATGACCCAACATTCCCAACTTGGGATACACAGAATTCCATGGTAATGGCGTGGTTAATTCATTCCATGGAAGAAAAAATAGGGGAAACCTATCTTTTTTTTTCCACGGCAAAGAAGATTTGGGATGCTGTAACCCTCTCCTATTCAGATCTTGAAAACTCCTCTCAGATGTTTGAACTGAGAAACAGAGCACGGAGTCTAAGGCAGGGGGAGAATGATGTGACCCAATATTTTAACGATCTCACAAAGCTGTGGCAGGAACTTGACTTATTCAAAAATTGCAACTGGAGAGATCCAGAAGATGCGGTGCTTCATCAGCAAATGATCAACAAAGACAGGGTCTACGACTTCTTAGCGGGACTTAATAAGGAGTTGGACGAAGTCAGAGGACGTTTGCTGGGAATGAGACCACTTCCATCGATTGAGGAAATTTTCGCTGAAGTCCGTAGGGAAGAGTGGCAGAAGAAGGTGATGCTGAATGAAACCACACGTTTGGAGACTGAAAACTCAGCCATGGCAGCCAGAGGATTTCAAGGACAAGGAAACAAGAAACCTCAATTGTGGTGTGACCACTGTCAACGTCCACACCATACCAAGGAGACCTGCTGGAAGCTACATGGAAAGCCAGAAGACTGGGTACCAAATAGACAAAAGAGCCGAGAGGCTAAAGGGCTTCAAAAAGTTGGAGGTTCTGAGGCAGAAAAAAGAACTGACAGCAATTCAGCCATGACATTTACAAAGGAGCAGATGGACCAGCTACGAAAACTTTTAATTGCTACTTAAACAACTAATCCTCAGTCTACGGGTACCTCCTTTTTGGTGGAAAAAGGTATGAACTTTACAGTCTTTGGGAGTATATCAGTTAATGGGGAATCATGGATAGTGGACTCTGGGGCCACAGACCATATGACTGGTTGTGGGAAGTTGTTCACTTCCTATACTCCTAGTCCTGGAACTCACAAAGTGAAGATAGCA